AAACAAACCTGTGATGCTGGAAAATTATTTCTTGAATTTGTGAATTTCTGAGCAAAAAGTTCTAGGAACTTCAGATGCTGGCAGACAGCCTATAAACGATAAAATTGGGATTGAGATTTGTTTTTGCAAAGGGAGCATAATTGAAGATTTCATATGAATTTACAGAACCTTTTTGAAGATTGGGTTCTTTGACCCCTATTTCTTACATAGCTCCCTCAGAAGGGCCTCTCTCTTCGTCTCTTAGCCAGTGTCTTTGATTCACGGTGATATGTAAGTTTCTAGGCATTATGTCTGACCCCAACAAGGAAGTAGGTACGTTGTTTATGTTGCTGTTTACCTTAGTGATGTCATTTCCATGCTACACAGAAATGTAAACCCTGGTTTGTGCTAATTGTAGTTTCTTCAGGGAAGCTGCCTGTTTGTCTCTATGTATCTCCACCTGGACAGCCAGTTAGATGGTGAGATACAGTTTATGCTCAATCCTCAGAGCTAGGCCATGCTTGGTAGGATGATGGGAGGTCAAACTTAAAACTGGATTCATTTCTAGGCGTTGACTGGTTTTGGTTTGTTCCTATGAATTTTTCTGACCATTTCCTCAAACACAGTTGGCTTTTGCTCTATATCAACTGTTACAGTAACTACTTCAGTAAATGTGACGTGTGTTTCTCTGGAATTTCTTTCCCTCATATCTTCTTCAGCTTCCACATTTTAGTTAACTAATGTTGCTAACTGTCTTCTCCAACTGGGGAACCTGTCCCCCTAAAGATGAAAAGCCAATTTCAGAGGCAAGTTGAGAAGCTGCTAAAGTCCCAGTACAGTTGGTACATTAGCTTTAATGTTTGTGTTTTTGTTGTTTTTCTTTATACTGTATCCTAGTCTCTCAGAGTAAGGAACTGATTTACCTAAGAGAATACTCACTAGCTATCACTCCTGGCAGCTATGATGAAGGGCTGGAAGAATATTTCTTTCATGTTTTTCTTTTTGAGATTAGAAAAGAGTTTGGCAAGGCAATCAGGGCAAAGGCCCCTTTCATAGAGATTCTGGATCCCTTACCAAGGCCTTGGGCAGTTCCAATTGCAGGTTCCTGGTATCAGATTACCATAGTCTTAAGCAGTTGTGAATGCAGGCCCTTGGGCAACATAGCAGGGCTTATTACCCCTGGAAGACTTGCATTCGAATAGGGGGACCCAGAGGTCCCAGATGCCAAATAGGCATCTGGTCTTAAGGGCTGGATGACATATGGAGATCTTCATGTGGGCTGCATGCCTCTAATTGGATCTGGAGCCTGCTATGACTCACAGGCTGTCCAATGATCTTGAGAGTTGTATAGCTCTCTCCTAGAGCCACCTTTTTACCCCTGCTACTACCCAGGTAGTGCCCTTTCTTGGAAACCCTCGCGTCTAGCTGGAGCCCTGCTTACCTTTTTCTTCTGCAAATCTTTGTTGTCTCAGTTCTCCATCTGTGGACTCATTTTCTGAAACTATCAAGACAAAGGAGTCAATCTAGATGTTGAAATTTTCCAGTATCAATCTTTTGTGGAGAAAGTAAGAATACAATGAAGTAATGGGCAAATCAGAGCATTCGGGAGAGGAATAGAGAGTTGTTTTCCCTCATGACAGCTGTCTGCAGGAGGCCTGGTAGGTGACAAGATCAGTAGGTGGGAGGGACTTCTATTCCCCAAAGCTAGGACTTCACTTGGGCCTTTTTGGTATCTTCTGAGAGATAACAGAAGTTTTGGAGATTTTTTTACCCAGTGGAAGAATGGAAGGGAGGATTCAGTTCAACTGGCTTATTGAGAGTTAGACATTAAAAGAAGAAAACACAAAAACTGTACTTTGGATTTTGTATTTTCCTTAAACCAAACTCTTCTTTGCATGAATGTGCTGTTTGTGAATAAGAATAAGAAAGTTTTCAGTGTTTTTTAAAAAATATTCCAATGAAGTATAATTTTAATGGGGAAAATACAATTAAAATTGATCTTATGCTCTTGTTTGTCTATATTATTCATGTTTGATTGCACCCTATTTTCTCCTGAGAAGATATAACTGAAGTATAATACTAGAGTTGAGGCAGAACTGTCATAAATGAAGCTTGCCTGCTGCTGTTTACATGTCACATGTCTCCGGAGTGGCAGTGGATTTCAGCACTACCTCTCAGTGCTGTTCTGGACAATCAGTCAATCAAATTGACCTTAAGATGGAACCTTGCCCTGCTCTTCAGCTGTTCATCTTTGAAGGGCTGGGCTATGGATACTTTACTGAATGCTGTGAGTTTAATCTCTTCCTTCCTCTGCCCTGGTTCTTTTACCTTCTCTTACTCCAGTGTGCTTTTCTGGAGAGTGAGACACCTGTAGAAAACACATGGGAGTCCGAGTGTTGCTATGCTGGATTTTTTGGGATGGAGGGTACCTTTTTCTACATGCAGCCCATCCCCACAACATTTTGTCATTGGGTTCATGTCTCCCAGGTCTTAAACTCAAGGTCTTATTCTCTCACTTAGCTTTTTCCTCTCATGGCTGGTGCTGTACCACTTGAGACACACTCCTAGTCCAAGTTAATTGGATAGTCTCATAGACTTTTGTACCCAGGCTGACTTTGAACCTTGATTCTCAGAGCTTAGCTTCTTGAATAGCTAGATGTGTGAGCCACTGGTGCCTTGGCTGCCTCACCTTTTGTTCAGTCCGAATGAAAGGTTTACTGTCACAGCTTATGAGTACAACTTACGAAATCTTTTTCCTAGACATTCTGCTGTGCATGGTATGCATAGTTAGCTTACTTATTCATTAGTCCCAGAAAGAACATGTATCTTCATGGAAGTTGTCTACTTCGAAAGCTGCAGCTTTTCCTGTGCTAAGATGCCATTTAGGGAAGATCACCAGAGTGCTCTAGCTGCTTTTGCCCTTATCTGTAGAGTCCAGCCAGGCCTATTTTTGCTTCCTGTCCTCAAGCCACTTCTTCCTTGTCACAGAGGGAAGGAATGTTGTTAATACCCTTTACTCCAGGTAGAAGTTGAAGCAATTCAAGCTAGAAAATAGTGAGTGTATCACTGATGATTTGAAATTGAGAAGGAGATTTGGGTATATTCGTGATCAAGTCACATTCAGCACTATACTCTGAGGGTGTTCAATAGACTTGGTTTGGAACCCTTTGCCACCTTCCCAGGTGTAACTTTAGACCAGTATTTGACCTTGGACAAGTATAATCTCTAAGCTCAGTCTCTGCATCTGATTAAGTTGGAGTTTCTAACCTACCTCTTACCAGTGTTCTTGTAGGGTTCAATGCAAAGGAATTTTATGGTCTATAAGCAGTTATTGTCATTGAGACTTAATTTATTTACCAGTGAAGTTACAGGAAGATCTTTTTAGTTACATATTGTCTTTATAAGTAGATATGGTCAAGTGGCAAACTGGAATATTCATTGTTTGAACTGTGTTCCCATTTTGAACCTCCAACTTTTTGAAAGTACTTATGATAGAAATGAAATATTCATGAAAGTTTGACATGTGGCTGGAAGGTGGCATTTCTTGGGCTCCTCAATAGCTGATGTTAATTTGCCTGTCTGTGCCTGTGACTGTTTCTGAGGGGCACTATGTTCTACAGATGTAGGACATGTAGTGTGATAGAACTAATTAACACGTCAGAACATTAAGTCCTGGAAAACATAAGGGATTCTTTTTTAAAATTCTCCTTTGAGGAGTGAGCCTGGTTTATAAATTAGAGTTACTCGATTATTTTGGCCCAGAATTGTAGATCCCAAATAATGGGACACTTTCCCTTTAACTGACTCATGGGCAGGGGCAGCATAACATGTTTGGTACCCAATCACTTGGCATTGTTTCTGTGAGCTTTTCTTTTTTATTTATAAATATCTTGGCTTCATCTACTACCTTCAGACACCCTGTTGCTGCTTTGAGTCAGCCTTCATACAGGAGTTGGAAGATCAAGTGACCTACTGCATTAATGACTTAGTCTCAGTTTCTATCACATACAAATTAAGTTATTATCTTTGTGTTTTTGTACAAAAAGGAAACCAAACTCCCTCTAGCATTCTTTATTCTGGTTTTTCTGCCTTCCTCCATTTTAGGCTTAGCAGTGTTTGCTTCCTGGATTATAGGAAGGCCCTTGGCTTTCTACCATAAATAACTTCTCTGTTCTACAGACCCTGAGAACTTGCAGGTTGACCTCAAACAAACAACTCATCAGGGAAAACAACTTAGATGTGGTAATATCTACCTGAAATAATATCTACTCTGCAGCTGACTGCTACTTGCTTCTTTCTCCCCACAGCATTTTATTCTATCCATACAGGGATTCTTAGATTCCCAGATAGATCTTGGGACAAGAATGATCTCTGAATGACCTTGCCAGCAACCATGATTAGTGTATAGTATTCAGAGTCAGGCTGTTAAAGAACTGCAGAGTTTAGGTTGTATGTAATATACTACTATATGTTTATTTTTTTTTCACAATGATAACATTTCCCCTTTTTTTGTAGTACCACAAATCACACGCATGCATTGTGTGCTTAAATATCCACATACATATGTTGGCAGACATACCGTATTTAGTTGAGGAAATCTTTCATGAGCTAAAATGAGGAAGCATTGTTCAGTGGTTAGTACAAGTCTGTTGATCCTACAGTTTTGTATGAAGTCTGTGTTAGTACTTGGCTTCCTCTTGATTGCATTGTGTTAGAAATGAACATGTAAACATCTCATGTGCTTTCTGACTTTTAAATTAGCAGCTGATTATCTAACTGGGGGTGTACTTGTAGTCTCAGTATTTTATTGGCATTAGATATGTACTCAGCTTTGCCTAACAGCAGCGTACTCTGAACCCAGGGAAGCCAGAAATAAGTCAGGAAGTATAGAGAAAGTTCCCTTCCTTCCCTATGGATACAGTAACAAGAAAAGAATAATAACTACCTTGGTTTTAGTTTTGCTTTTCTGTCAGCAACTCATTATAAGAAGAATGTACTTTAATTTACTTATTTTCTTCTAGATTAGAAGGCGATTGATGAAGAAAAGTAATAACATGGGTCAGGTAAGTGGATTTTCCATTTGTCTAGTTTATATTTTCTGTGTATTACCAGTGAGATGATCTAAACAAACAGTTGTTTCTGTTCTTATAATGTAAGAAATGTTTAGGCCAGGTGTTGGTGACTCAAGCCTGTAATCCCAGCTGCTTAGGAGGCTGAGGGCTGAGTAATGCAGTTCAGAGCCAGACAGGAAGTCCTTGAGGCTCTTATGTCCAGTTGACCAACCACCAGAATGCAGTATATGGAGCTGCACTTTCATGTGGTAGAATACTATCCTTGAGTACAAAAGTTCAGGGACCATTTTTCTTAATCAGTTGATCACATGACCCACAGCATCTAGAGCTAATACTAATTAAGTTTACTTTCTAAACATTACTTAAAATAAACTTTGAATGTTATCCTATGAATACAATACTTGGCAATGCTTTGAATTTAAGATCATATCCTATTTCCTTTTTATTGAGCTGTGTGCTTCATCTTTGGGTTTACAAATTATATGTTGGTATCATGAGGAAGTGATATTGCTTTGAAGCTTTAATTGAATGCTTTTGAATTAGGAGAATCTTATATTTCAAAAATGATGGTAGTGTGACAGCTTCTTTTTGTGACTGTATTTGATTATTTACAGATATAATGTAACTTCATACACATAAAGAATGATTGAATGGCTTGATATAACTAGGTTCTGAAGAAATACCTAGTGATGATTCCACTGAAAGGAGTGACATTGATCAAGATGCATTGTATTCATAAACTGCTTTGTTGAACTGCAGCTCTTTTGTACAACTACTTAGAGATAATAAAAATATACTTAAAAGAATTCTTTGGGGCTGGGAAGGTGGCTCAGTGGTAGAGCGCTTGCCTTGCATGCATGAGGCCCTGGGTTCAATTCCTCAGCACCAGCACCACATAAGCAGAAAATAAAAAAATAAAAAGGAAGTGGTGCTATGGCTCAAGTGGTAGAGCGCTTGAGCTGAAGAGCTGAGGGACAGCGCCTAGGCCCAGAGTTCAGGTCCCATGACCGGACCCCCCCCCCAAAAAAAAAAAAAAAAAAAAGAATTCTTTGTAGAATTAAGTTTCTTAGTTTGTTCAGGCTAGCAGTTATTTTACTTTCTTTGTAGATGTCCCTGTGTTCTTTTAATTTTGCTGTCCAACAGTGGCTTTAAGGAGTTCATGATTCTCTTGAAGTGAGGTAGTAGAACAGCTTTCCTTTCCTTTTTTGTTTCTTTTCTCTTTTTTGATGTATGTGAGATGGAACCTAGGGCCTAGTTCATAATAGGAAAGTATTCCACTTCTGAGCTACCTCCTCAGTGCTTAGTTTTCACCCAGTACTCAATGATGCAAACCTTATGGGAGCCTGAAAAGGATTAAGAGCCCACTTATGGGCGTGTGTGTGTGTGTGTGTGTGTGTGTGTGTGTGTGTGTGTGTATGTGTGTGTAAGAGAGAGGAAAAGAGAGAAGAGAGGAAGAAGGAAGGAAGAGGGAGAGAGGAGAGAGATGAAGAGATGAATACTGACTAAATGAAACATGATCAGAATAAAAATCAGTATTTTTCTAGATAACATAGATTCCATATTTGTTTAAATGTAAATACAAATATAGATGGGAAATGGGAGAATGGTGGAAGGAGTGACACTAATTAAGATTCATTGTAAATTGACATATTGAACTAAAAGTTTGTATAACTAGTTAAAGATAGTAAAATATATTTAAAAATTATAGATATTCTTTGTTCTTTATCATATGTAAAATGCTATTTTCCTTATATGACACATACCCATACCCATTTACTCATATATGCATGGGATGCATATGTGCACATAAATATACACATATATATGTATGTATGCATGTATTTAAATATTACTTTATGAGGTTAATATGTTGGCAGAGAGATGAATATCTTCTTATAAGATAGCTTGTAAAGAGAGTAACTCAGTAGGTGGCCTTGTTTTCAGTTGAAGTACTGTACTTAATTTGTGATAATTATTTGTTGGCCATTAAAGTTAGTTGATAAATACTTGAAAGGAGAAACTTTTAATGAAAACTTTTAATTAAGAAAAGTGGGCATTCATATGTGATTAAGGACAATGGAAATTAAAAGGCTAAAAAGAGAAAGAAAAAATGAGAGGTGGGAAGTGGTGGAAAGCACAATGTAAACTTTTGTTTCCAAATTAAGACATATTTTTATCTCTATTGAGCTCTACTGAACTTGTAAGGCCCTTTTAGCTTTCAAATTTTACGATTCCATTTTGAAGTTTTGCTTACATTGCTCCTTTGTTTTAGGCACACCATTGAGTATCTGGTTGGGCAACTTATGGAATACAAGACAAGACCCTGCCTCAGGAAGCGTACATGAGAATAATTTTAAAGAACCCTATTGATAGATGCAAAACAGTAGCTGTCAGAGGTATGTAATAACTTAGAGCTTGGACTGAACCTGGTGTGGCCTACTTGATTGGACTCAGTATGGCTGTTTTGTGTGATTGGAAACTGTACTTAGGCCTGTTCTTCTTGAAATGTGATGGTGGGTGGGGTGGGATGTCGTTTCTCACTCCGGGAATAATTTAGCCAAGTAATTGAAGGACAACAAAGAAGCTAGAGATTATATTTGATTCTGGCCATATGAAAAGGATAAGAAACTTTTAGCCTAAGACCTCATTGCCTTCTTTCCTGGGAGTAGAGCATTTCATGTAGAAGCTCATCAAATGTGTGCCCTTTGAAAGAGCTAGTATTATTGGCTTTTTTCTTACTATTGAGCATCATTCAGGCTGTTTCTGATTGGGCAATGACTATACTGATTCCTAGTTAATCATATACTTTGATTGGTATCCTAGATCCGTTTAACCAAGTGAAATGGTTTTCAATTTTATCTTCTTCGCATTATTTATCATCAGAGTTAGCCTTACCATTGTTTCATGTCCTGTGGCCTTTAGTGGATGCCTAGCTTTTCATGCCCCAGCTCTTCATGCCATGCTATATATCAACTTTGTCCCTTAGGTGTTTTTTTCCCTCCTTCTCTAATAACGAAGAACACTATATGTTCCCTGTGCTAAATACATTTGCATCTTTTATACCATGGTGAAACATTAAGCAAGTCCCTTTTTGTGCATGAGGAGATTGAGGTTCCATATGATTATATATCTGGCCTACTATTTCCCAGAGAGAAAGGTAGAGAAAAAGGATACAACATAAGTTAACAATTGAACACTTTGAATAACTTTGATAAAGTTCACTCATTTAAAGGAAATATGTCATTTTTTCATTTTTTATATTGGATTTTTAAGACTTGGGACATTATTTGTATTACATTAAAATGAATTATGTATATTTTCATGGGCTTTATATATTTACTGTTTCCTGTCTTCATTAATATTAGAAATAAACCATGGTAGATGCAAAGAATAGATAAGAAGTAGCTCATTTCCTTTTTTTTTTTTTTTGGGTCTGTTGTGGAGCCTGAACTCTTGGCCTGGGCGCTGTCCCTGAGCTCTTCAGCTCAAGGCTAGCGCTCTACCATTTTGAGCCACAGCGCCACTTCCGGCTTTTTTCGTTTTTGCTTATGTGGTGCTGAGGAATCGAACCCAGGGCCTCTGGCATGCAAGGCAAGCGCTCTACCACTGAGCCACCTTCCCAGCCCCAGCTCATTTCCTTGGAATCTTTTTCTTCCAAAATATTTAGTGGAACGATATTTATTAACACATTTACTTACAAATTCCCTCAGTCTGAAAATCAGTTTTTTAGAGAAATTTTCAAAAACATGATCATTGTCCTGATATTTGCACATCCTGTTGCTTTTGCCTTCTGTCAGAGTGAATGGATGGAAGCAAGCTGACTTTGGGATCTGTTTCAGGTTTGAGGCTGGCTGAGGAATAGGTAGACCTGAAGTGAAGAATGTGTGAACAATATCTACCCATAATCTCTTCACAGACTCACATCTGTCAAACTTGTTCTCCTGTAAAAGGAAGTACAGATTTCTAAATCTTATCATGTAGACTAACAGAATCATCTCCCTCCTGTTGATTTATAGCAGTTATTTTTCTTTTGCTTTTTTGCTACTTTATCAGCTCTGTAGCCAACTCTGGCATTATTACTCTCAGGACCAAAAAAATTGATGAAAGGCTTTATATTATCTTTTCTTTTCTTTTGGGGGGGGGGTCCGGTCGTGGGGTCTGAACTCTGGGCTTGGGTGCTGTCCCTCAGCTCTTCAGGTCATGGCTAGCACTCTACCACTTGAGCCACAGCATCACTTCCAGCTTTTTTTTTTTCTGCTTATGTGATGCTGAGGAATCGAACCCAGGGCCTCAAGCATGCAAGGCAAGCGCTCTACCATCGAGCCACCTTCCCAGCCCCTATATTATCTTTTTCTTTAAAGCTAATATTGGTTTACTGTTAACTATGTGCCATTTGTTTATGCACTAAGGTCTTGACTTGCATGTTCTCTAGCAAAAACAATGCTATTCATAAACCTTCACTGTCTTCCTGAGTTCAGTAGCTTTTGGCTATACTTTTCTGTTTAGGTCCTCCTTTAGACACTGCAGGCAGTGAACAAAATTGACAAGAATAAAACAGACACAGGGCAACCAAAACTTGCACTGTGGGGTTGTGATAAGCTATATAAATAAGAGATGTGTGCAAAATAATAATCAGTCTTCTGGAAATAGGAAGGAGAGAGGGAGAAGAGAATTGGGAATATAAACCTGAGTGGTGTGTGGTGTGTGTGCTTGTTTGTATGTGTATGAGAGTATACATGTGTACACACACACACACTCTTAGTATATAGTAAGGAGACCATGGATGGCCTCAGTGAGATCACCAATATAAGGGCAGGAAGGAAGAAAAAGCCTGCTCTTTCTGGGCCAGAACATCCTACAAAAGAGGATTGTATGTGCAGAGGTCCTCAGTCTTTTCCTTAGTTTTTCCAGAAGCGCTAGCAAAGCTCTGTCCAAAGCTACACTTAGGACAAGCTGGTTCCAAGATTTGTTATAATGAAAGCCTGCACTGATTGCTTCGTCTACTCTAAAAGGATATTTTTTTTCATTTTATGAAGGTTTTTAGCACCTAGTTGTGCATCATGATGTGATATTTAACCATTTCTACTCATAAGCAAATATGATAGATGATAGATAAATATATTAGTTTTTTGCACTCAAATAATGAAGCCTCAAGATTATAACCTCTTTCTCCATAACTAAAATCTAAAAGTAACCTTTGAGGACTAAAATGTCTACTTTTTTTCTCTTTAAAGTTATATTTCTTTTCCTTTAAATTCTCTATTCATATTTTATAAGTGGAATCTAAAAAGACTAATTTTGGAGCCACTAGCATAGTTAGAATACATGACAACAACAGAGATATAAGATTGTATTTGCAGATCAAGAGAATGTGGTATATATGTACAATGGAATTCTATGCCTCCATCAGAAAGAATGACACCACCCCATTTGTTAGGAAATGGAAGGGCTTGGAAAAAATTATACTAAGTGAAGTAAGCCAGGCCCAAAGAAACATAGATTCCATGGTTTTCCTTATTTGCAATAACTAGTATATATCTAGGACAAACAGAGAAGGTCAAAAGCTATGTACATATGACCATATAAGATGATGTTAAGTGAAATGAACCCTAAGATATGGACTCAGAGGTTTTTATCTTTCTTGCTATTGTTTTTAATGTACTTAGAATGTACTATGTGATTTTTTTTTGATTCTCTTGTATGTTTTTCTCCCACGGTATAACCCCTGTTTTCACTGTATTTGATTCCGGTGTTCTGCATTTTGTATATACATTTTTCTAATTTGGGGAGGAAATAACAAAATGCTGAGAAACAAGGATACAGGATGACCCATTGTAACAATGAGATGTACAAGACACTATGTTGAAAAGGAACTTTACAACTTGGAGGGGGTGGGGATGGAGGAGTTGGGGAGGTGGGGAGGGAAGGGACGGTAGGGGAAAAACAAAGGAGGGGGTAACAATGCTGGATAGGAAATGTACCGTTACCTTACTCATGCAACTGTAACCACTCTGTACAGTATTTTTACAATAAAATATATATTAAAAATATTTTTAAAAAAGACTGTATTCCCCTGTTCAAGTAAGAGACACTTCCTCTAACCAGAGGTTAAATAAGTGGATAATGAACCTGAACACTTTCTTGGTGGGTCCCGACTGAGCACCTCTTTGCTATTCTTCTCCTTAAAGGCAGGACATAGAGATACTGCTGCTGTTATTCTGCGTCATTTGGCTGCATGCGCATGTGGTGAATTGAGTCCATATATGCTTCTTTACTTTCTTGGCCAGAATGAAGGAAAAATATCTTAAAATTCTTTTGAGATAAAATAATTGTCAATGAAAATGCTGTTTATGGTATTGTGACTTGGATATTAACTACTTATGTGACCCTCAAACTCATCCTTTGAATCTATTGAAATGCTTTGCTTGGAGGGGGAGGGAAAGTGGGAGAAAAATGAAGGAAGGGGTAACAAGTTTGACAAGAATTGTACTCATTATCTTGCTTATGTAACTGTAACCCTTCTGTAAATCGCCTTAACAAAAAAAATACTTTGCTTACGTACTGCATTATGTATTAGTAAGAACTAGTTTAATATAAATCGTGTAGTGTTATTTTTCCCTTAAAGCCAGTTTCTGAGGATGACTAAAATGTTAGTGTGAAAATTAGCCTACGTAAAATCATTTTCCTTTGTGTAGACCATTGAATGTTTTCTGTGTAAGAAAAGGGTTAAGTAAGCATAATACTATAATTAATTCATTCAAGTGACATTCACAGGAAGCACTTTCATCCCAAAGATATTTGCGTATTTTGAACGAATTTTAAATGCTAGGAATAAAAACAAGCATTTGCTAATTGTTAAGTTCTCTGACCTTTTGCAGTGGTGCCATACAACCACAGTTTGTGTTTTCTTTTGCTCATAAGTTTTGCTTAAATTTACTTTTTTTGTTTGTTTACCAGATCCTCATCTTTATTGCCCTTCTTTCATTGTTAATGTTAGCATTCCTCTGGGTGTTGTACATTCTGTGGGTTTATAATGACGTGTAGAACTGGGTTTGGCGGGAACTTGGGGAGATAAGGAGGAGCCTCAAGAAAGCAGGAAGTGCTACAAGATAGGAAAGTTAGAAGAGTTTGTGTATTCTCAGTGGTAAGAAAAGTGAAGCAACAGCAGAACACCACTGGCACATGTTGCTGGTCAGTCATGTGAAATGACAATACTCCACACAGGCTGATTTTGAAATGAGTGCTACAGTGGGGAGGGCAGAGTGCTCAGAGATGGAAGGATTTCTACCACAGTTGAGGTTCCTAAGAGTGCAACCTGGTTCATCCTATCTTTTCCTGTTGAAGCACGTGCTACATACAGTTTCTGACCAGCCTTCAGATTTACTGTGCACGGGAA